AGAATCCAAGAAGAACATTAAAACTGTGAGGAAACTCACAAGAAAGAACAAAAAGAAATGGCTGATATTCAACCATTTTAAGAGGTAGTATATGGTCAAGAGCCAGTGGAACTGAAAGAAGTCCAAGGTGAACTCAAGGCATTGACAAAGAAGAAGGCTCTGGGAGCTGATGGAATACAAATTGAAATCTTTCAACAAACTAATGCAGCACTGTAGGCATTCATTTTTCCATGCCAAGAAATTTAGAAGACAGCTACTTGGCCAACTGATTGGAAGAGATCCATATTTGTGCCTATTCCAACAAGAGGTGACCAAACCGAATGTGGAAATCATCAGATAATTAAAAACCAGCTTTAATAGGACACCGACAGGGAATTGCCAGAGATTCAAGTCAGATATAAATGAAGACATGAAATGAGGGATATCATTGCTGATGTAAGTTGGATGTTGGCTGAAAGCAAAAAATACCAGAAAGATGTTTTCCTGTGCTTTATTGACTATGCAAAGGCTTTCTACTTTGTGGATCATGACAAGTAATGGATAAAATTATGAAGAATGTATAGACTCCTCATGAGCACTTAAATGTACTCATGACAAACCTGTACATAGGCCAAGGGGACACTGAAAGCTTGGATATCTAGAGAGGTGTGCGCCTGGGTTGTTTTCTTTCACTTACTCATGGTTTTCATTCATTTATTCATTCTGTATGCTGAAGAAATAATCTGAGAAGCTGGATTATGTGAAGAAGAACGTGGCATCAGGATTGGAGGAAGACCTTTGATATGCAGATGATACAGCCTTGCTTGCAGAGATTGAAGAAAACTTAAAATACTGATGAAGATCAAAGACTTTAGTCTTCAGTCAGTATGGGTTTCACCTCAGTGTAAAGAAAGCAAACATCCTCATCACTAGACCAATAAATAACATCATGATAAATGGAGAAAAGATTCAAGTTATCAAAGATTTCATTTTGCTGGGATTCACAATCAACACTCATGGAATCAGTAGTCAGGAAACCATATGGTGTATTGCATTGGACAAATCTGCTGCATAAGACCTTTTTAAAGTGTTCAAGGTAAAGATGTCAGGTTGAGGACTAAGATGCGCCTGACCCAAGCCATGGTATTTTCACTAGCCTCATATGCATGTAAAAGTTTGGCAACGAATAAGAAAAACTTTAAAAGAATTGAGGCATTTGAGTTATGGTGTTAGAGGAGAAGATTGTTGAAAGTATCATTGTTGTTAGGTGCTGTGGAGTTGGTTTTGACAGAATGAAACAGTGCCTAGTCCTGCACCATCCTCACAATTGTCATTACACTTGAGCCCATTGCTATTGCCACTGTGCCAATCCATCTCACTGGGAGACTTCCTCTTTATTTTGCTGACCCTCCACTTTACCAAGCATGATGTCCTTCTCCAGTGACTGGTCCCTCCTGATAAAACATGTCCCAAATATGCAAGACAAAGTCTCACCATTCTGGTTTCTAAGGAGCATTTTGGCTATACTTCCAACACAGATTTGTTGCACTTCTGGCAGCCTAACGGTACTGTTAATATTCTTCTCCAACATTATAACTCAAATGCATCAATTGATCTACAGATTCCTTATTCATTATCCAACTTTTACAAGCATATGACATTATTGAGAATACCATGGCTTGGGTCAGGCACACGTCCCCAAACTGCTCTTG